AAAAAAAAACCCACAAAAACCAAAACCAAAACAAAAAAAAACCCCAATTTATCCTTTGTAAAAAGAAGGGAAAAAGGGAAAAAAAGGAAAAAGGAACTGTCCAGCCTTAGGGACTAGAGCTAGTTTGTTTGCACAAGAACATAATCAGAGTCAGGAACACAGTGGACAAAATAGTCCCAAAGGAAATCAAGATTAAGATGCACACTTTGGACTCTGCCTACAAACACCAACCTCCCAAGCCCACAAGTCATTTTATTTGACAATGTCACAGCAGTTCACATTTCATAATGCACTCTTAACTTTAGAATCTTAATATGCTGGTTGGAATTAGCTGCATCTTTGGAGAAGAGTCTAATCTTAACTATGCTCTCCTTTGGAGAGATTTAGTGGTTGGTTGGAGGCATCAGCAAGATGTCTAGTTATTCTGGTAAGAGAAAACCATGATAAAATAAATACACATGCATATATTTTATATATAAACACATATATGTCTATATGTGTGTGCACGTGTGTATAAAACTAAACATGGCATGGACTCTGGGGAAATAAATGAGACTTCCTTTATTCAGTGATCCCACTGGGTCAAATGTTCTGTCCCCATTCTTAGAAGTCAAGTGGAGTTCAGGTCATGAAGAAGTTGCAGAGAAGAAAGTAAAGGTTTCAGAAGAGTGCATGGTCCTGTATGAATATGTAGACGGGAAAGAACCTGAGCTATTTCCAGGCCTACTCCCTACCTTGGTTCCTCTCCATGTGGGGACTCAGTATCCTAGTCACATCTCTGACTATTTTGATGGTGACCGGGGGTAGGGCAAGGTGAAGTAAGGACTAGCCAGCCACACTGCCAACCTGTGCTGTCTCAGGGATTTCCATCAGAGGCAATCCAGAAGGATATACCCAAGTACAAGTCCTACCTCTTGCTTCCTCTGTGCCACCTTTTTCCCCCAGACCTACCACACTAGAAGTAAGAACCATCTTCATCTGATGTAACATCCTTCCCCAGAGAGGGTCACTGACTGTTCTGTGGTGCCAGAGCTGTCAAGAGGCTGTAACAGAAAGAAGTCCAGCCTCTTCAGTTCCATTTCACCATGTGCTCTTTCTTCCCTACCTTAAGGTAAAGGATTCAGGCAACAGTGTGGCTACCCTGCTTCCCCATGAGCCCTGCCCACTGTGCTACAAGATGGACACAGGGTTAAACCTCCTGTAGGAGCCTGGGCCTCACCTGGCACTTGCATGCCAAAGTTGCATCCTGCCCCTCTCTGAACTGTCACCTGATTGGAATCTACCTTCCATCCCAGCATCACCCTCAAACACCCACTAACCCCAGAAGGGATGGATGGGCTGAAAATTAGCTGCCCAAGTATAAATGCAGACTTGAATATTTTTAATGTTGTGAGAAAAATAGTGAAAACTCCTTAAGGATAGAAGTTGTATTTAATCTGCCACTTCTACTGAGAAGAATCCCTGAAACACAAAGTTATTATGAAAAAAAAAATAATGTTAAGAAGACATGTAATTGAGTGGGGGTGGAGTTCAAGGTTGGCATTACAGAGGGCTGGACGCTTGGGAGCAACTCTGACCCAACAGAAGTTTAGAGAGAAGGTAGAGGAACTTTGGAGATTCACAGTGCACCGTCAGAAGATTCTACAGTGAAGAGTCTAGGGAGGAACGCTCCTCTCTTGGGGGTACCAGAGAGCAAGAGGACAGCACAAATACGGGCTGACCTGGAAACTCTTGGCTATGAGACAGATGCTTGACCCAGAAGCCAGCATGGACCAGGGCCTGGCTGTGATCAGAGGAGGTCCTTATACTGTGCGCGAGGATCCAGAAGGTCAGATGCAGAGATTTGGCAGGGTAGACAAGGAGAGAGCTGGGTACTAGCTTGCTCCACCTTCATTCCAGACATTCCCGGGGGCCCACCCTGTGCTGCAGACACTGCAAAGTGAAAGCAATATTTCACTTCCTTCTTTGCAATTAGGGTTCCACCAATCAGACGCATTTGCCCCAATACCCCACTTTACAGACTAGATAGCTGAGGATGGGGGCAGAGCAAAAGGTCTTTACCTTGATGGCCCAGATCACAGCCCAGAGGAGGTGGGCTCTGCAGGGGTCAGGGGACACAGCATCCTCTGCCCTAGCAGAGACATTCTGGAGGCTCCAGCTCCAGCCTGCTTGTCCAGGCTTTCCAAAATATCTGTAGGCCAATTAACCCCTGACTCTTAATTCCCTACATTTTTCAAAGGGATGCAGTGATTTCTGTTGTCTGAATCAGCATACACAGAGGCAGGCCTAGCACACTGCATACCCACAACCGATCCTTTTTTGAACACCCTTCTGTATGTGACAAAATGATTTTCAGTGATAATCATATGATAATCAGTAGTTATTATACTTATCATGATTCATTCATTAGCTGTAAAATGATTTTTAAAAGAAGTAATTTAAATTTTAAAGATTTTTTTTCAAATTCACTTAACTATTCCACATATAAACCAAAATTTGCATATACTAAATTTTAAACAAATTAAAATTCCAAGTGGTCACACAGAAAAACAGAATTGAATTAGGTCGGATTTGTGCCCTGCCTTTGCAGTCACGGTGCTATCACCCTTTATCGATGACTTAAACATAAACAAACCTAGTACCACAAAGTGAGACATAGATTGAGTTTGAAATCAGCTCCAACCCATCTCAAACTGTTCTTCCTGACTGGGAGTTCTCCTAAGTGACTTCCACATAGAATAGAATATTTACTAAAGGGAAATAAAGTGAAATATGCTAATATGAAATTATATATATATACCCACATATATGTAATTAAGAATATGTATAAGTAAAATTCAACAGTTACCACAGCAATTGTTTAGAATATGGACCAACAAAAGATTTGGGGGGAGGGTTATTTTATTACTGATATTGTTTAGAATTGCTGGCCTAGGGCTAATAAAAAGACTGACTTAGAGTCAATTTTATTATTGGTTTTAAACCCTCTGTAAGAAATGCAGCCCTGAACTACACACACCATGAGAACCACCCCACTACCCTGCCTGGTGCTGTGTGCAGAGCCCCAGGTAAGCTGGTCTCTGGGCCCTAAAGAGCTGACTTCGGAGCTAAGGCCTGGGGAGGGTGCTGGTCCCTGAGGGGGAGTGGTCAGGGTGATCCCAAGACAACAGGCCTTCCTTGCCGGGTACCTCATGCTTCCTGCAAGACTCAGCCTATCTGTCCCCTTCCTGACTCCCAGATGCCCTGAAACTTTATCTTGGTGACGAGGAACTGAGAGCCCAAAACTGTTGAAAACCTGTGTCAAGTTCTCAGTAAAGTGGTTCAGCTACTTTTGTGATGGGAGTGTACACTTCAGCACAACTAAAAGTCTTTTCCTGTCATGAAGATGCACACATGAATGTTAACTCTACCACTACCAAAAGTCCACTTTAAGCCACACACTGGAATCTCTCCTTTGCTGGCCAATGAGCAGTGCACCAAAAGTCCAGAGGCCAGGAGAGACGACCTCGTGCAGAACACCCCTGGGGTGAGGCCAGGACACAGGGTGCTGCCTAGAGAGAGACAATCTTCTCTCTACCCCTCTAAGTGCTGGTATTCTTCAAGGTTCCCAGTAGCACAAGTTGGACGAAAGCTAATTCCTTACTTCTAGGGAAAGTCAAGATGGTCTGTTGGTCTTTTCTCTAGATGAGAAGCTTTTAAAACAGAAGCACAGTCTCACAGAGAGTGCCTAGAATCGTGAGCCCTGTGGGGGCGATACTGGAGATTGAACCCAAGGACTCAGACTGAACTACATCCTCCATCGTTTTTTATTTTGTATGTTGAGACAGGGTCGGCTAAGTTGCTCAGGCTGGGCTCAAACTTGCTATTTTATTACCTCAGCCTCTTAGGGTGCTGGAATTATAGGCATGTACCATGAGGCTTGGCTAAATGAGACAATTTTAATGCTCACTGCCAAGACCCCAAGGGAATCCAGGGGAGAATGTCTCCCTAGATAGAGAACAGTGGTTACTCCCCACATCAGGGAAGGCACCAAACATCGGTAGATGCAGGTGGTCATTGCCTCAGGACTACCTCAGGGTACCTAAGGACCCTCAGAAGACTGTGACATTTTTCCTCAAAGGAGCAGCGAAGCAGATGCTCATCAAAGGCCCAGATAAGAGCCTTCTTCCCTAGCACTGCTAAGAGACTGCAGCTAGCACCCCATGCCCTGGGACCAGTGGTATTGTCTGGTCCTTATAGGGAGTGGTCAGGCAGAAGGAACAGGGCAGTCTAGGTCAGGGAGTAGCTGGATATGCATTTCAAATCCAGCATGGGCACTAAACTCATACTGCTGTATCACTGTCCAGGGTTGTCAGGTAACCTCATATCTAAAGATTACAAGCCTTAACTACTCCAGGAACAGCCTTGTGGCCAAAGAGAGGCTTGTTACAAAGGCCCCTTTTGTTGAAAGGATCTTTATTCCAGCAAGGGAGGGAATGGCTCTAGGCCCCCTCTTACCAGTGACCAGCCAGCATGGAGCAGTCATACAAGTTTAGCCAGCCCTCTTACCTCAGAAGACCCATCCTCGAGGCTCAGGTTTGCTGGCTGTGAGTTATGAGTTGGTCACTTTCTTTTCCAAGCTTCCATTCCCTCCCTAGAAAATGGAGATAATTTGGTAAAATAAAATGGAGGTAAAAGATGTACCGGCACACTAGCCATGCTGAGCAGTTGCACGCTAAGCATATTATACTTATACCCGACTCTGGCAAGCAAAACCAACTTCCCTTTCACTGTGCCTAACCCTCAACCATCCCACGTACAGTAAAGGAACATTTTTCATGGTTATTCCTCCTCTTTCCAACCCAGGATCCAAATACCACATCAGAGGTGAGGGGCAGAAATTCAGTCCCACTAAGCAAGCCAGGAAGGACAGCTGCTCCAACTCCCCCTCACTGCCTAACACAGAGAAGCAGGCTGGTGACCCTGCTCAGCCAAGCTGGTACCCCCAGCTCAACTTGGAATCCCAGGGACATCAGATAGTCTCAAGGAGGGTAGAAATTCCATGCCATACTGTTGGAGTCCAGAGTCTCAGGCAGTGAGGAGGTGACTTTAGCCAGGCGCACACAAACTGTTCTGAGAGTGCCCATGTTCTGCATTTTTGCTTCCTGGCCCTTCTTCCTGCTGCTTTTCTGAGCTTGGTCCTCCAGACTTCTGTCAACTCTGTGAGCTACTGTACAACAGCCAGTACCTTCCTGTTCTGCTTAATTAATCAGTCTTAGAGTCAACTGTACCAATATTGAAGAATATCAGGGAGGAAATTGCTCAAAATCCAGAGGTGGCTGGGGATTTAGCTCAGCGGTTCAGTGGCCTGCCTTGCAAGTGCAAGGACCCGAGTTCAATCCCTGGTACAAAAAAAAAAAAAAAAAAAAAAAGGCATAGACATTTTTTAAATGTGTCTATACTAACACATTTATCACAGTTTTACTTAAAATGGAAAACTGTAAACAGTGCTCATAATTGATAGTAATGAAATGGTTAAGTGAACTCTGATCCATTCACTTGGAAAAGCAAGCAATCCTCGGAATAATGGATAAAGATGGTACAATGATAAGCGCAGTGCAAGATAGTGACAAGTGAAAATGGGATATAAAATTACATGTATAAGACACTTGACCTTTCCCCCTGCCCAGAATATAATCTAGAATTTTTATCTTTCTTGTTCATAGTCCCATCTCTAGCCCCTGGCTGCAGTAGGCACTCAACTAATACTTACGGAATGAATAAAGGAAGTATTTTCACAGGAGAGGTGTGGGGGAAATCACCTATAATGCTGTTAGTGACTATTATAGATTAGTCACACTTTTTAAACCTGCTATTTTCTTTCTTCTATTTCCATTTTTTTGCATCATGTTCTTTTATTCATTTTTCCTGAGAAAACCAAGGGTTTTCTTAGCCCAAACCCTCAGTAGGTGAACCAACTCCCCCTAATATTTATTCCCCTCTTGAGAGACCCAAGATGCAACCACACAGGATGATAAGGCAAAGGAACATTATCTCCCTTTGCCGAGTGGAAGTGCTCAGCAAAGCAATCCATTAAGGAGCCTGGCTCTGCCGCCACCGAGTAAACACCACCTTCCTGTGGGCAGTGACCACCGATTGACCTTCACAGCCCACAGCTGGAGCCAGGAGTAGCAAAATCTGACTGGAGCAATAAAGTGTTGCCAGATCCCCAGGCCAAGTCAAAGGCCTTCCACTCTCCTCCCTTCCCCTCCCGTTGTCATCACAAACTTTGTCACCAGTCCATGTACACCAGTCTAAACAATGGCAGATTCAATAGCCAGAGGGAGATCAAAGGGGTTGACTGCCCCATCAGATTGGCATTCAGCTGAGGCCGCCACCAGCTTTGCAAGTGGGAGCCTGTCCCACCTCAGAATGACTAAGCAAGGAAGTGGAGGAGGAGTCAGCACTCTGTGGAAGTCAGGAGGTCAGCTTTAGGCTGCCCTGGACTCTCCCAGCAGGAAAGAGGATTTAACCAGCCAGGTAAGCTGCAAGGAAATGAAATCAGCTTCATATCCTGGGCAGGGCCAACTGTGCACACCTGCTAGGACTACCATCTTCTGACCTCGGCTGCTGGGTCTTACTAAGATAGATTCTCTTCTGCTCTCTCTCTCTCTCTGGCTCACTTGCTCTCTCGTGCATGCTCACATTTTCGCATGATAAAATGAATAATCATGCAAAAGAAAATGCTGGATTTAGAGAAAATAAGACACATTAAAAGCACACACCCCTGCAAAGGCTCGTGCTCATTAACTTCATGCCCTTTTCTTTTCTGCAATTGTCATTTCCCCATCTCCTACCAAAACATGCTCCATCCTGGTTTGATCTAATCCAAGAGAACCACCACAGGCTCCAGGGCACTCATTGTAGCATGTCTTCCTCATTATAAATGGGTGCCTCTCTGCTCAGCAGATTGCAGTGCCATCTGGGAAGTGCCCCACCCCGAGCTTGGTCTCCAGCTCTTCAGGGACTCTTCCAAGTTCTGATAGCGCCTCCTGCTCCAAGTTCTGGGTCTTAGCTCTGTGCAGTCCTCCTCTCACCCACACCAAGGCTCTGTACTGGGCTCTGCCAGCCTCTCCTATGAGAAACCAGATACAATAACCCAAGGCCCCAGCCTCTTGCCTTTTCTTCCTCAGCTCTTCAGGTGGGAGTTGTTTCCTACTGTTACTATCACTGAGATACCTCAAGATTCCTTTCTTTTTGCCTTTTAGTCTGCTAATACTGGTTTAATTGATTTCATTTATTAAATTTTCTCTGTTAAAATAACTACCATGATCAACTCCTTACCTAACTAATATTTACATAATCAAAAGACCTTCTGAAGTAGCATTAACAGTTTTGGTTCCCTTTGTTAGTATTAAATTTAAACCAAAACTAATTGTACTTTCCCAGGTATGCTTTAATTTTATAATTATCAAATATACATGCAGTACGTACATGCATGCATGGGTATGTGTGTTATATAGTGGTTTTCTGATTGGACTCATAAATACAAGAGAAAAGTTTATACAACAAAATGTGTCAAGTGGAACTTGCTGTAGAAGACAAGTTGCGGGCTTTTGATGGAGTGAGTGGTCCTCATCTGAGGTAGGGAGCAGAGCTTTTCATCTGTCATGTTCAGATGATATTTCTCAAGGAAGTGTGTGCAAGACCTAATTGGAAGTTACCACCTGCTATGCTGTTCAAGTTACTGACCATTTCTCAGCTAGATTCTAAGGAGTTTTAGGTAGTTGAACAGTTAGAGCATATGTCCTTTAAATAGCCAACAATTCCAGAAGAAAGAAAGAAAGATCCTGAAGAAAGAGAGTCTATGTGAGAAAAAGAAGACCCACTGGAGAAGACAATGAGGTAAAACAAACACACAGGAGTTAAGCAACCTAACTGTTCATAAAAACTAAAGGGAAAGCCACCACACTTAAAGTCAGAGGGGGAGGGCTATTAAAATCACAGGTGGTTGCAATAACCACACGTACCATCGGTGCTGAATTTCCAATCCCTATCTCCTTACTTTGGGAGCAATTAGTCTCGGGTGAAAAATTGCACTTGCATCTAATTGCACCTGCAATTACCTACTTCCGGGTGCAATTAGCCACTTGAACCTAATTCTGAGTGTGCAAGTGTTTAATTGCATATGTGAGGAGGTGATTCCAGACACAGATAGTTGTGCCCTCAGTCCTTGCACCTGCAGCTAATTGTGACTAATAAAACAAGTCTTCATACAAGTCAGGTTGAAGGCACATATGGTGACCCTATTTGAAGAGCCCAGGAATTGTAGTGGCTAGACTGATAGTGGTACAAGTAATTTAAAGGAAACAAAGGGACAAATTGTCCCTTTCCTTTGGATCTATGGTTACATTATCCAAGTCCCCTTCCTACATTCGTGTTCCTTTTGGACTATGGAATCGCAAGTCAGCTAGTTAGAGTAAAGTCCCCTGCTTTGGCTGGCATAATATTTGCAAGGACAGCAATAACTCTTCTGCTAACATTGAGAGAATCTGCAAGGTTCAGGTCAGAACTACGTTCCAGCCAATTCCCTATTTTGGGGTTTAACTCTCATAAGGTTCTTCACAACACTTAGGCAGCAGGTATCTATAGAACACCTATTCACTACTATGTACTCCTACTATGCACCAAATCATACAGCAAATTCAGAGGTTAATAGACATGGCTCCTGCTTTCAACTTCATGTCATTCCCACAACTAGTTACTGATATATTAGAGTTCTCATAAGCATATTGGGAAAATCCATTTATTCTGTCTTTCTACAAAAATCTATTTATCTGGGGCTGGGGATTTAGCTCAGCAGTTCGGTGGCCTGCCTTGCAAGCCCAAGGAGCAGAGTTCGATCCCTGGTACCAAAAAAAAAAAAAAAAAAAAAAAAAATCTATTTATCAAGTCCTCTTGGAATCCACATGCAAGCAGAAAAGATGGGTGCTAAACAACTGTTGACACAATTAATATTCTCATTAGAAGGGCTGTGAGAGTGCATGGTGAGGGTGTGCCCTAGGGTGATAGTTTAAGTTAGGATTCTCCAAAAAATTGGTGATTGCGCTGAGATTTAAAATATAACTAGATTGAGAGGGAGAGGCCAAGGGCTGCGGGCAGAGGGAATGAAGATGCAATGGCTTTGAGGCAGCACGGAGAACAGAAAGGAGGCCACAGTGGCTGAAGCAGAGTAATCAGAAGAGAGGTATGAAGTTTTTGTGATGCATGAGAGGAAATTCTCCAACACTGCACCCCATGAGAAAACTTGATAGTCCCCCTGCCAAGATGAAGGGCACCGAGTGGCCCATGTACAGTGACCCTACAGAAATTCTGATGTGAGATCATCTTTTGTACCTCTCTCTGTAATCTCACCAAAACCCACCTGGACCCTGGAAGAGCCAGAGAGAGATGAGGCAGAGGGAGGATCAAACTGCACACCAACCCTTCCTCATAAGGGCTTTAGCTTAAGTCAGTACCATTGATTTGGAGGTGAGATTGAAGTTTTACATTAAACTGAACTTGATCTTTAATACTTCAAAGTAATCAAAATTGATAGGTTTAATAATTGGAAGCAATGTAGAACACTACAGGATCTGTGTGAGATGTCTCTAAAGGATGGGAAATAAGGACCCATCTGAGCATATTTGGAGGCTGAATGGGAGAAACACAGAGCCTGCCTGTGACCGTACACCCTTGGGCCAACCATGCAGTGAACTAGGGTTGCAAAGGAATAATGCATATGACCCACTCTAGCTGAGATAAGAGAAAGCAGGGAAGGCTCCACAAAGATAAGAAGGACTGACACATTTGGAGAAAGAGAAGGGACCAGGCATTGCAAGAGGAGAAAAATATGAGAACACAGTGGGATGGAATCCATTTCCTACTGAGCGAGAAGCATCAAGAGGTCTGGCCTGGCCCGAGCATATGGTTGAGGTGGGTAGAACATATGCTAAAGCCAGATGGAAGGAAGCCCTGAATGCCAGAAAAAAGGAGTTAGGATTCTCAAGCATCAAATCTGGCTTATCCTCCAGGCTCCAAACACACAGCAAAATGACTTAGTTTCAGCCTGGAGTGAGATCATTCAATGAGCTTCCTCCCAAGGCTGAAATTATATCGTCCGCCTCATTCTTGTCTGTCTTCTTTGGTGAACATTATCAAACTCATCATTGTGAGGGTATTCCTTTCCTTTCCTTTCCCAGCTCTTTCACCAGCACACCTGGCCAAGATGGTACCAGTGTACAACCTCAAGTTGCGGGGGGGGGGCAGCAGGATCCCCTCCTTTTTCCTTATCGCTCTTCTGGCAAAGGCTACTAGACACTCACCATTCAGTGCTTTCTTCTTCTTCATCACCCCAAACACTTGATTTCCCATGCTTCCTACAGTTAGGTTGGAGTCTGAGTGGGAGAAACACAGAGCCTGTCTGTGACTGCATACCCTCAGGCAAATTCCTCAGAAACTTCCACACAACTTCTGCTCATCCCTTTTCCCTCGTGAGCCTAGAAATAAAGTCTGCTGAGATGGCGGAGACATGATGGCAGGAATCTGCTACCCACTCAGAGATAAGTGTGCACACTTCCATAACAAGCACAAGAAAGAACGGGGTTCAGCCTCTGAGCTGTGAGGCTTGCTCCTCATTGCAACACAGCTTCATCCATCTTAACATGTCCATCCACCTCTAATTCTAGTGTTACTGAACACATTTCCTCCCTCCTATCTCTTTCCACTACCCCACAGGCTTCGGGTTTTTTTCCAGTAGTGTTTTCCCTCTACCCATCCAGGACGTAGGCCTTTATTTTCCTGGACATGCCATCAGTCTGCCACCTGTCTTGGCTGGTCCCTCTCCTGGAATGCTCTTCCTCCACATGTTGCCCGGAGTGCCATTTCTTTGGCTGAAATGACCTTTTCCTAGAAGAGGTCCTGCCACTACCCATGCACCCTTGCCACCATGACATTCTCCTTGATGGCCTTCAGGGCACTTCCTGATTCATGAAATTATCTGCACCATGTATTGTCTTTGTCTGAGCAGGATGTCTCCTGCAGGAGAACAAAGAAGGTTTTGTGTGTGGTGTTTATTTAGTGCCTTCACCTGCTCTATAAGTAACTGGTGAATGAATGAATGAATGAATGAATGCAAATATTCTTACCTCTGAGTCATCTAGTCCCACTGTGTTTACACATGAAGAAATTGACCCAAAGCAAAAGGGAACACGCAAGCAGAAGAGGCTCCTCCACCTTGCTGGCTGTTCCTGGAGTGATGAACTTGGATACGATTTATGCAAATGAAAACTCTGGGGGGATTGTTTCAGAGGGATCTATAAAACAAATGTCATTTTCACCTGGAGAATTCACCAACCTTCGAACCAATTTTAAATATAGTTCTTTAATGCAGATTTGACAAATTTGAAATCTCTCACATAAAGCCATTTATCATCTAATGTGTGCCTGCCCTGCATCACAGTTTAAGTGATAGCTTTTTAATAGGGTAAAACATTTCTATAAAATCATCAAAATACCTTAAACCAAAACTGCCTATAAGAAACTGATGAGTTTCAAGCATTGATTCAGCCCCTGAAAGATCCTCCTTGCCATTGGCACCATGGGCATTTCTAATAAAAGCAGCTAAGGAAATATAATGAATATCTAATGTATATCTGTGTGGTTTCCCGAACTGGAACTAAGTCAATGAGCCTTTCAAAATGCATACTGTAGTGGTATATTCATAAACAATAATCTTGTTTTCTATCACGACTCTAGAGCCATTCTTTTTATAACACAACTGAAGGTTTAATTTTTTTATATATATAACCCTAACCCAGAACTTCAGGGAGGAAGGAAGTCTTGTCCATGTATGATCTTCACAATGTCCTTGTGTGTGGAAGCCATGTGGGCAAAAAAGGCAAACCAAAGCACCCACCATCCAGTGGCAAATACAGGGTTTGGGAATAATAACTCATAAACAACAGCACAGAAGCTGCCTTAAATGCAACACCAGGAGAAGACAATTGTCTAGACCAAGCACTCAAAGGCGCAGTAGCCAGGCCCATGCTGGGGGAGGTGCCTCTGACCCTCAGACCTGGCAGCCAGACGCGGCCAGGTCAGCCAGAGTCAGGCTGTCTCCTGGAGGCTGCTGGGTAAGGGTGGAACATGTGCACCTGACTCCTGCCAAAGCTTTCAGCTGTGTTGTCCCACCCACTTCCTTAACTGGAAATGCGGGAGTTGCTTCCCCCTCCTGTTGGCTCAGACACTGTGACCTAAAGCTGCCTCTCTACCTCAGTGACTTCCCTTCTAGAGGCCAAATATAACCATCCCTTTCCCAGTTCACAAAAATTCCAGTCAGACGGGTGTACACAATGATGGGCGGCCAAAGAGCATGTCAACGGCCCAACCCACAGCCAAAAATAATGACTGCTTGGTTAGTACAGGCTGGGTTTTTTATTTCCCTGTTGTTGGGACTTTATTGGGAGTTATTTTTATTTTGGTTTTGAATCCTGTTTTGGTTTTGTTTTTTGAAAGTAGATGGAATAAGTGAAGAAGTTGCTACATCAACTTCTCACATGAGACTCAGCCATGATGAGTCATGACCAGAAAGGCATGCACCCCTTCCGTCTACCCAGTCACCTGAACAGGGGGAGGGTCTGGAAAGTGGTGCTGGAAGAGACTCTTGCGTGGGCCAGGAGTGGATTTTCTATGCCTACACCATTGAAACATCATTTACCAGATGAGGTGTTGGTGCACAGCTGGCAGTTCAGTGCCCTCCCAACTGAAATGATTTCAATTATTAATTTCTTTACAAGTACAGCGTGTTCAACAACAACCAAGCCCACTTTATTTTTTGGTATCAGGGATCGAACTTGGGTCCTTAAGCTTACAAGTCAGGCAGCAGAACCACTGAACTAAATCCCCAGCCCCGAAGCCCGCTTTTGATTTGCTTTATGAACACAAGGCTCTTATCAATCAGGTTTTTTTGAAGGCCAACAGACACATCTTATTAATTCTTCCCTAGCAAGTGACATGAAAATTGAAGCACACTAAAGAGATTGAGGATGGGAAAGATGATTGTCTTCTCCATGCCCTATTTCCAAGTGCAATGAATAATAAGCAATTTTGCAAAACTACAACCTTCAATTGTTGGAATATCTTTGTACTTTTGTTTTCAGAGGCAGGATGTTTCCTGGTATTATGTTTCCACCTGAGAGAAAAACACTCCGTCATTTCTCCATGTGTGTGCATATCACACAAATATATATCATTTCTTGTCATGTTGTATACTGTTCCAGAATTAATAAATAATTTATGCATGTAATGCATTTATCAATTCTTCTGTAAACACACACACATATAATATCTCACATGCTAATGTCAAAGATGTCTTCTGTTTTAACAGAAAACAGGCAACCTCTTGGGTATTTCTCCATCTTGAAATTAACTTTGCATCTTATCCATCAAATGAGTGAAAAATTACAAGAAGTCCCTGTTCTTTAGACAACTGAGTGCTAATCCACACCAAATGAAGAGTTATGCTAAGTTTTTCTCATTGCATATTTTCTGAAATCAGTCCCCTGGTTTTGTTTTTGGTGGGGGGAGCTGTTTTCTAAGGATGGTCTCTATTTCTCCAGGGCCACTTTGACTGTTAAGGAAATACAGCTCCTAAATTTTGACTTGTTCTAAGTTGCCTTTCCTGTACTTCTGTCTTAGAATATTTATCATGCTTGTCATTAAAAACTACTTCTGAGCACCTAGCAGTGCTGAGCGTGGTACCAGGTGTGTGTGTTTGGCAGTCCTCACCTCCACTGCAGTCCACAGGCTCCAACTTGGATTTGAGCAGGTCATCATTCACACCCTCGTGGCAGCAGCATCCTGGGGTGACATCAACAAGACTGCAAGCAGCAGGCAGGATCATGAGGGCAGCAGCTGCTGAAGGCAGAGTCACATGACTGTAGCTGGCTCTTGTTTGTCTCTCTGCTCAGCCACCTCTCCCCACCAGACTTCCCATTTGAAAGGCTTTTGTGTTTCATCAATGTCATGAAAGAATCACCAGAATGATAGAATTTTAGAGGAAGGGAATGCAAAGATAATCTAGTCTTACCGCTCATTTTATAGATAAGGAAATGGAGGCCCTGGGGAGTGAAGTTCTTTGGCCAAACTCACGTAGTTGGTTTTTGGCAGAATAAAGACTGAAATTAAGTATCAGAACTCGCTTTCCAACGCTTTTTCCAATACACCAATGGCTTCCCAACATTCGTTAGTGCAATCCACAATGCACAATAAATTTGATATCAAGACTCACATGTATAAACATACATGTATCCAACACAAATGTTTCCCCAAACAATACTTTACTACATGATGTACTTGGATATTTTGTATTATAGTATATTTGTTTTTAAATATTCTAGAGCTTTGAATTTTCTATTGTAGTACATTAGTTTTTAAAATATTCTGGAGCTTGTTTAACAGCATGTATACTACAATTGGAACAATACAGAGAAGATTACCGTGGCCATGGCCCCAACACAAAGATAAAATGTGATTTTTTCCATATTTTTATATGTTTATAAAAATGGGGCTTTTCTTTCCAGGAATAGTATTTATAGGTATTCAATCCTATGGTTTACATTTCCCCTTATTAGGTACATTTACTGAATATCTAAGAAGGTGGGGGTTGGGTTCGATACAGTACAGGGAGCCTTACAAGTCTTACCTGTCATGCTTCTGAGCAGGAATGACCTTACTGTCTAATCTGTCCTCAGTGAGAAAGGCAGAATAATCTAGGAGAAAGAACACTGGACATAGAGTCAACACCTAGGCTCTGGTCCTGACTCCACCAACTACTAAACATGTAAATTTCTGAGTTTCCTCTGGCTTCTATGATCTCATCTGCAAGATCAAGCTGTTGCTAATTGAGAAAGTTTGGAGAAGTAAATGAAATAATGCAAATTAAAGCAATAAAAACTGTATACCCAAGCCTTGTCCTGGAATAGCAATGATCTTAAATTCTCACATTTCAAAGAAATACATTGTCTCAAGGTGCTTCTGTATTCTCATCAAAACACCCGCATAACGTACTCTAAACAAAATTGGGAGAATAAAGAAAAACTATTCCCTGAACCTGGCTCATTTTTAAAGGCCTTTTGCAGGTGTTTGGAAAAGAGAGGTTGACCCAAAATCTTCAAGATGTTCAGTTCCAAAAAAAGTAGAAGTCATTGCAAGCAATGACGGTGCTGTGTCCTTGAAAGAGAAAGGCGACAAGTCTCAAACGAAGAAACATATCCAAGGAAGGCAGCTTCTTGTGGATTGAAAGAGGAAGAACCTAGTGGACACATGGCAAAGTCAGATGGCTTTGTCAGGCTGGAGGCTGGTGGAGCAGGTGCAGTGGAACCAAATGAAAACTGGGGCTCTAGAGGCGCTCATCGTTGCTCCAGCTCCTTGTGAAGAAGGCATCTTTCTGGGAGATGGTTTGTCTGCATTTTAGGACATTCCACCTTTAGACTCACTAACTCTATCTAATAAAGATCAAAAACAGATGAAGAGAAATTACATTGAAGACGCCCAAAATGCCTGCAATGATCTTGGCAAGCATGAAAGTCATAAGGGGCCTGATAGCTGCAAACATTGTGCAAAGCCACTCGGACGCCCCTCGGAGGCCTTGCAGAGGTTTCGTGGCCAATGTAGGAGAGGTTTCATGGCTCTACTGAGGTAGGAGGGGCTGCTGCTGGGTGAGAGAGTGAACCAGTCGTCATGCAGATCCTTGAGAGGAGGAGGACCCGGGCATGGGCGGACTGGTGGAGGTGGCATAGGAGGCGGCACATTCTGATTCCTAAAATAGTGCATGATCATTATTCATGAACTTGAAGTTGTGTTTCTCACCAATCATCTCAGGGAAATTGCTTGGAAAAAAGAGACTGAGGACAGGTTATGCATTTCAGTTATTTCCTGGTGGAAAATCTATGATGCTTTATGGTTGTCATTGTCCGGGCCTACAGATAGCTTATTTCGAGTTTTTGAATGAAAAATATTTTTGCATTCCTTTAAAAAAAGAAAAATGCCAGTTATGCTCACAAAATCAATTCCACAACCTCCCAAGCAGACCATTTAAAAATTGCACCCACATGCCGGGGATTTAGCTCAGTGGTTCTGCCACCTGCTTTGCGAGCACAAGGTCCCGAGTTCGAAACCTGGTACCAAAAATAATAATAATAAACAGCACCCCCATATGTGGAGAGGGTTGCAGGATGGCTCTTAGCACAAACCTGAGCATCCCCTCCAAGCCAGCCCCATCCCTTCCAACACTTGTGCTTGCACCCAGTGCCCTCTGGAGCCTTCATTTCACGGTGAGCGACTCCCTTAGAGCATTCATTTCTCTTCCTGTTTCCACTGGAGCAAGTCTCCCACCAGGGTCAGCTCCTTCCTTCCCCTCCTTCCCAGAGGCCTCTGATTCTTCAGTCTGTGGCCTCCTCCGAGACCATTTCTCCTCTCCTGTGGTATAAATTCCTTCTTGTCTCCCTTTGCGCAACACCTTGGACTCTCCAACATCCGGGTGGACTATTCATCCAACACACTTGCTCTCCACGCCCCTTCATTTCCTTCCCTCTTCTGTTCCATCTGACATACCCCCAATCTTTTCCTTTGCTCTCTGAGCACATCCTCTCCCCCATGATTCTTGTTCCCTCAAATCCAAAAGTCCTCTAAATCTCCTTGACCCCTTCGTCCCATTATTTTTTTCCATTTTTCCATCCTCTCAGCTCCCACATGGCTTTGCTTCCTTCACCTTCCAACCTGGACTGAAAGACCTAGCACTTCAACCACAGGTAACCTGTCTGGGCTTACTCTTTTATATCAGGGTGCTGTCACTGTTAGCCCTAAAGGGGCAACAGTCAAACCAATCTACAAGAACTCTCTTTCATCATCTAGCACCAACACCCAGCACAGTGCCCGCCTGTGACCATGGATGTTCACTGCATGAAACTGTGTGCCCATATGACACATCCACCCCACTGGCTTCATGGTTGTAAAGACATTAAGAGCATACTAGGGAAATCTCAATACATCAGGAAGTTGCAGCTGGGTGCATGTTTAGTTCTAAAGTTAATCTTCCAGCACCATGGCTTAAATAATAGACCTGGCCTCCAGAAGCCAGACATGCCACAGTGACTCCAAATCCAACTAAGCCAAAGATGCCTGAGGTCATTTAACAAGGTTAACTTTCATACGTTGACTATTCCAGGGGGCTGCTGCAGAGATGAGAAATAGGCCCCCTCTAGACAGTCTTCTCTTTGCTGAAGTGTTTGTATCAACCCTGGCTCAGTACTGCTGCACTCCTATTTTTCTTTCTGATACCGAAGGATTCAGCTACCAGAAGAGGTAAACAGGAGAATGACAGATCTTATAGAAGCAGCCTCATGAAGACACACAGTAGACTAAGATTTCAGCTCAGCCACCTGGGTAGCCCTCAGGAGAGGTGCTGATAGAAGCTTGTGACCAAATCTCCCACTCTGGCCATGAGGAGAGCCTTTCGCACACATCGCACACACACACCCTCACAATGGCCACTCGAAGATGCAGTCCCAGGTAAGCAGTGTCGACAGAAGGACCGGGACAACATTCCGTCACTTCCTCTCAGTTCTTCCATTTTCTCTTCCTGTCTTTCCTTACCCAGTGTCTCAGAACAACGAGTCCACAGTCTGACCCTCTGCATCAGAACCATTTAAGGACTATTTTAAATGCAGCTTCCTGGCCTCATCTCAGAGAGATTAAATCAGCAACTCTAACACTGGAACCAGGGAACCTGCATTTAAACATTATTTTGCCTATTAAAGGTTGAGGACTACTCTGAAAGAGTCTCTTCTCTGTCCTTTCCAACTTCACATCCTTACTCCATGGTGCCTGCCCATTTGGCGGCCATTTTCTCTGCACGCTCCTTTCCTGTGGCCATCGTTTAGAAGCTAGTGGGGACCCAAAGGAAAGGAGCTAGACAGGAAAAGGACTAGTGGGGCTTTCTCTTGCTGTACTGAACAAACTCCTCCCTTGCTAAGCTCTGCTTTAATCCTCATCTGGTCTCCCTACAGGTTTCTTTGATTTGATTTAGCATCCATGCCTAACCTGAATCCTGGGATAGCCTGGGAACTTAGCACAGTGAGTTTAAATAAAGTTGCCTAGATGAAACCTAGAGATTCAGGTAGCTGATATTTAGTCTTAGGGTGATGATCTAGTTTTGGTCAAAGCCACAATCTACTAACAGGTTTACAGGAACAGACTTGCCAAGATGACGTTCTTGATGCTAAACAAGAGATATGAAGAATAAAGACATTTTGCCATCTATGTAGCCCCAGAGATGGGGTATCTATTGGAGATGACTGTGACCCTGACTGTGACCTCAGAGCAACTTCTTGGAACACCAGTCCCCATTTTGCTATTTGAGTATGAGAAGTAGTGCAGTTATTGTCATCTCTGCTCTGAATCAAGGATAAAAAGAGAAGGTGAGAATGAGAAAAGAGAAGGTGTGAAAGGGAAGGAATCCGGGTGAGCTGCAGAAATGCGGAAAAGCAGGAAGGACCTCAGATGCTGGGCTGGAATAAAGTAATGTAGCAGCCCACTTGTGAACTCAAACCACCATGTGACTCAGCAGCCATAGCGACAGTCCCTCCCTCTGAGTCTCCAAGTATTCTGGAGGACAAAGGTAGAGTGCTCTATGCCAAAGGACTTTGTCAATGTTGACATGTCACCAATATGGGATGTCGGCTCCCTATCTATGACTAAGGAGCTACTCCCCCTTTTCACTAACCCCACACAACTATGTGGGACACTAAAGGCTAAAAGGAAGCTTAAGTAGCAAACCCTTTTTCATTAGGAGATCAAAAGAAGCAAACAGGTAATAGAATGCCCTCTTTCCCTAGAACCTAGAGATTACCTAGGAAGCTTAAAGAGGGTGCTATTTTAGCAAGAAACTGAAAATGAGGCAAGACTGTGCCCCCAGAACACGCTGCATTTAGGCATCTTAACAAACAGCTTGAACAAAGAAGGTCAGCGCTCCACACAAGTTAATGTGTTTATACAGATTCCTTTGGAGACCACTGGGCCTTAGCCACAGCTTCCTTCCTGCATTCCGCTTTGTCAGCATGAATGATTTGCTGTCATAGGCATGTTGAGCTCCCTTGGGACTCACCTTCTCCTCAGAACCTAAAACAAGAAGTTTACCCTATTTCTTAATCAAGTGACTTCATTTCCCGGCTCTGATTCATCCTTCTTCAGCTCTGGCCTAGCTGCGAGGTGAGCCGGTCACCAGGACCTAGTCACTAGAGGGAGCAAGAGAGCAATAAGGGCCAAACGTTACCCAGATGACCAGCGTCCCTTGGAAACTGTTGCACTTGGCTTCCTATTACTCTCCAATCCCCTCAGACAAATGCCTCTCTTTCATTCCACAGCTCCTTGGTAAACTCTTATTTTCTTCTTTATCAGCTTTGGATAGAAAACAAAACAATTAATTTAAAAGCAGCACAGAAGAACCTAAACATTATTTATGTCTCTAATTATCTCATTCTAGTGGGTA